CGGCTGCTCAGCTCAGGCCGGGACTCGAACCGCTGTTGCTCAGAGCTCAAACTCTTGAGCGAGCTCTTAACCAACTGAGCCACTTGGCTGGCCCTGACAGACACTTTTAAGAAATCATTCTGTCTGCTGTGAAAAGAGTAAACTGTAGTGGGGGAAGACAGTAGCCACAAGGAAGCCAGCGAGCAGGCAAATGCAATGGTTTGTTCTCTTTCTTGGGGACCATTCTGTCTTCTAGGTGGGAAAGAGGCTGCAGCTGGTTAAGGAGGAAACCCAAAGCTCTGTTAGCTAATAGGCACCAGATTTTACAAGCCCTAATTGCAGAGCCTGGGACTTAGTATGACAGGGATGGGTAGTTTTTGATACCCAACGGCATCCAGCTTCTCAGAAATGGGTGGCTTGAAAAGAAAAAAAAAATACACATTCTTTTTTTTTCTTTAGCTGGGCCATCCTGCCACCTGTTGGCAGCTCAGCGGCAGTTCAGCTCAGGCCGGGCATCAAACCGCTGTTGCTCAGAGCTCAAACTCTTGAGTGAGCTCTTAACCAGCTGAGCCACTTGGCCAGCCCAAGATATACATTCTTAAACTACATAAGGCAGATACCAAGTTTCAAAATAATGCTATCATACTTCCCCCAAATAATGGAAACTTTATTTTCTATTTTCCAGAGGATTCTAATTCTAGGCTCTGTTGTACCATGCTCATCTCTGCTGTAAAGATTTTAACTCTAAAGTGGAAACCAGTTTCAGGGTAAAATATGAACTAGGTTAATATTGAAGGGACTGGAAGAGCAACAAGACAGAAGGAACCTGGGCCTGGACAACATGGCCCTCCTGACTGCCCCTGGACTGTTACATAAGACAGAAATAAAATACAGCTATTGACCTTTTGGGTTTCTTTGTTGCAGCAGCTTAGACTAACAGCAACACTCCAAAATATCTCCCTAGCCAAGAAAGGAAGCTTTTGCTTACTGAGGGTACCACGTCGCCTCGTTCCATGATGTCTCTGATCAATTTGCTTCTTTCTGATTCCAATGACAGCTCATTACGCAGGAGCTCACCAGTTGCGAGATGTGTAAATCCATATTTTTCCACCAGCTTTTCACACTGTGTGCCTTTGCCAGAGCCAGGGCCGCCTAGAAAAGAAGTCATGTATCAGACATGCATCCCACGTCTGGTGCTTCTTTTTTTACTATATTCACCTTGACGGGCAAGCCTCAGGACTTCATTCACCAAGCACGGATGGAGCGCTTGTGATTTACTGGGAGCTGTGTTGGGAGATGTGGATACAATGGAGAATGGGATCCAGTCCTTGCCCTCAAAGAGCTAACTGTCCATGGAGTGGGGCAGGCATTACAAACAACAAGCAGTTTCTATAGGTGGTCTAGTGAGGACCTCAGGCTGCTATAAGGGGTGCGGGGAGAGATGCAGGATTCCCTTTGGCAGAGATGCAAGTCAGGTGCACACTTCCTGGGGAGCTGAATCTGCTGTGTGAAGCACTGACCATAGTGTCTGATACATATTGAGTGCTCAACAAATGCTGTTACTTTTCAAAATAAATTGTTTTCATTTTCAAACAATCACAAACTTACAGGAGACTTATAAGGAGCATACAAAAAAACTTTCTCAAACATTTGAGAATAAGTAGCCAACCTGATGCCTCATCACTACAGAACACTTTGGTGTCATTTCCTTCAGAAACGGAACCAAGCACATCCTTGTACATAACCACGTCTTCCTACTCCCTTCAAATTTCAATAGAATGGTCTTAACTGTCCCGATAATGTCTTTTAAAGCCAATGGATCAAGTTCTGAATCATGCATTGCCTTTAGTTGACAGGTCCTTCTGGGTTTCCCTTCAGAACGGTTCTTTTGTGTTTCCTTGACACTTTTGAAGATGATAGTTATTTTGTAATGTCATCCCTCACTATGATTTTTTTTCTGTTGTTTTCTGGTTATTATTGCCAAGCACTTACTGTACCGTCACTGTCCTAAGCATTTTATGGGTATTAATTTAAAATAGTCTTAAGAGGCAGGCACTGCTATTATGCCCATTTTACAGACGCGGAAGCAGAGGCACAGAGAAGCTAAGGGCTTTAGGCTAGTAAGGAGCAAGTCTAGGATTTGAAGCCTGGACTGTGGTTCTCAGAGGTGTTCCCTCCTCTTTTCCCTGTGGTCACACAGTTCAGGTCTTCAGGCCCCTGGTGCACAGCAGTCATTCTGCCTCTGCATGGGGGAACAGGAGAGGCTTTGGAGTTGGACTGACACACCAGCAGGATCACTTGCCTGAAAAGCATGTCACGTCCCAGCTCAATAGCATTCAACAGTTTGCCATTCCCCAGAGAATAGAATCCACTTTAGAGTGGCATTTCAACCTTCCAGAACCTAGTTCCATTTAACCTCTCCAACCTTTTATTTTCATTTCTCATCCTCGTCCAACACAGTCATGTCCAACCACATATGATCCCTTCAATGGCATATTTTTCCAGGCCACTGTTCTTTGGCTTATTCAGGTCCTCAGCCTGGAAAGCCCTTCCTTTCTCCTCTTTCAAGATCCTCTTCATCCCTTAGGCGTAGGTCAAATGCCTGCCCCTGTGCCATGAACTAGACCTCTCACCTCGCCTCTGTTGGAGTGAGTGGCTTATACAGCACCTGGTTGCCCTCTGCCTGTCTTACCCTTGGTCCCTAGGTCTCACTAGCACAGAACCCTGCACACAGTAGGTGCTCCATAAATACTTGATGAATCGAGGTTTCCCTGTTAAAGGGAATATTGAGTATTAAAATGCAATACGTGACTAAGATTTTAGTATGGTAGTAAGGATTTATGACTTATTCTGCAATTTTCCTGGCTTGACTCTCTTCATACGCGTATTCAAAGCTCCTATCTTGGGACAATTGGAAACTGTCCCTCAAAAGGGACAACATTAGTTGTTCCTCCTTCGTAGAAGAGTCTCTCATCTCTTCTTTGCCTTGGCAAAAAGTAAAGGAAAGGCCCACGTTTTCTATCTCCTGCTCAACCACACAGCTGTTCTAAGCCAAATGGAGAGGGTTCAGATCGCTCCCAGTGTTGTCATGGATGGGCTAGATGTCACAGGAAAACAGCAATTACAGAGGCTCACCAAAATAATGCAGGCCACTTAGAAGGAGCAAGCGATCGCCAGCTAATGCTACATTTACTCCAAGCACTATGACTCCTGTCTGCTGAGATAATAGAAACGGGTGAGTGGGGGAACAAGGAAAAGCCACTCAGGGAAGAAGTGCTTCCAGATAAATGAGTGAAGGGAACAAGGGGCTGAGCTCCTGCAGACGCCATGAGGGCTTCCATGACCGGATTTACCAGAAACTCTTTTCCTAGGATGGCTGGAAGCCAGTCATGTGGAAAAGATATTTTCAGGCTCAGCTTACAAGGCAAAAATGCTGTGTTCCAGTTATTTTTCTCCCTTCAGCATCCTACTAATACAACTATTATAGTTTTTGTTTCTCTAAACTGTTATTTAACAAATCTCAACACAATGGCAATTAAAAATCTTCAGCTCAAATTAACAACAGCTGTGTGTTAAACAGCAGCAGCCCTAGTTAGAAATCCTTCCTGGGAGCAACAGCTGCAAATTCTTAGCATTCTTTGGCCAAATGGTGCAGGCACAGTGGAATTTTATGTAATCCACACAATGCCTTGATTCTTCCCATGGCTCCAAACTGGAGAACAAAGTGATTTTTATCACTGCAGTGAAGGCACAAAACCCGCTAGTAGAAACATGAGTTTTCATATACTGTCACTTACATGTCTTTGAGGCCTTAACTTATGACTTTTAAATAAAAAACAGTGGGGCCTTGATATCCCTCCAGGATAATTTGTTGCATGGAAGACAAATCTTTTGAGGTGCCACATATCAGACTAAGTGGGCTGTGTTCTCTGGTGACAATATGACTGAAAGCAGAGGAGGAGCTGTCACAGTTACTGGCTGTCATCTCTCTGACGTTTAGTGTATCATTATTCAAGCCTTAACCCCCTGCACAAACCTATCCTCAATATGGTGTGGTGTGATTCATGAAGAGAGTTTGGAATATGAGAGTCCATGTTGAAGGGGTCTGTCAACACTTCCAAAAAAAAAGAAAAAGTGAAAAATCTTTGTTCTCAACCTCCAATGTAATTTAAAATGTTTTTCATGGGAGGCCAAAGGTGCTATATTGTGAGAATGGAAATACTGTGAACTCCCAGTTCACAGCTCAGAGGATATTATTTCCCGTTCAAGTTCCCACAGTGCTGCACGGAAGGAAGAGGGGAGAAGCGCCTGCAGGAGACCTTCCAGCCCAGGGGCCTCAAGTCTACTCTCACTCAAGTGTTCGCTTTGGTCCCTGATGTCCTTTGAGATGAAGCCGAAGTGAGCTGCTCCACCTTGGCGTGCCCACCTGGGCCACCTTTTCCAGGCTGCTTTTTATTCAGTGGAGCAATCCTCTGAGGAGACAGCTCCTGGGTTCATTAGCTGGGCTCTGCGAGAGAAGACCTGCCTCCTACGCAACTGCTGCAGTGAGCTTGGCCTCAGCATAAAGAGTGAAATGGCAACACTGGTGTGTGACAGCACATTCGGGCGGGACTCAGGAAGCAAGCCCAAACAAACGATATCAGGTAGACAATCAGCTAACCCCAAATCCAGACAATAATGTGGATATGTAGGTTTCTATTATGCTTTTCTTATTAAATATTTTAAATAGTCATGGCATAGGGCAGGTTATAACATCCTTTGTTGATTTTTAATTCTATCTTATTAACTGTAGGATGCACCCTGAACTTAAGCATGAGGCCTATTAACACAGCTCTTCATTTGACAATCATGTGTTGGGCAGCTAGGATAGGTCAGACACTGTGTAAGCGCTGGGATAAGAAGACTCAAAAGGCCCTGTCTTTTCCATCAGAGAATTCACAATCTAATGGGAGGATGACAGGTGAACCCAGCACCACAGGAGCTGTGGGAGGGACACGTCTGCTAGGTGGGGGAAGGGTGATCGATGAGCATGCACCTTTGCCAACACAGGGGAAACGTGGAAAAGAAGAGGGTAAGGATGAGTTTGGTATATTCATGAAAGTGGTTTGGAGTATGACACAGTCCTGCAGAGAATGGAGTGAGGGGAGGAGTGTGATGTACTGGGAAGGGCACAGGACAGATGGATCTAGCAATAAGCCCTGGCTCTGCCACCTACTAGTCGTGTGGCTATGGATGGGTCTTTTAATTTCTCTGAGTGTCAGCTTCCTCATCTGTAAAATGGGGAGGAGGGGGGACAAGAACCAACTCTGTGCCTCCTTCTAGATTTCACTCTCCCTCCTCATCTCCTATACCGACCAGTTGCTAAGGCACTTTGAAAAGTTGAGTCCACTTTTGAAAAGTCTCTGAAATCTGTCCCTTTGTCCCAAACCTCATTGAAAACTTCCCTTGTCGCATCTCTCTTCCAAGAAATTGGTGCTTACAATGAGCACCAATTAAGGCTACTTATAATGAGAGGAGGTTACTCATCCTTCTAGCTCTTCCTGAATTAAGTCTGCAGGATGTCATCTAGCATATCGAGGTTTGAATGAAGCATAACCCAACACATCTAGGGACTAGCCATCACCTTGAGATGTCCAGACCACTTGTAGGTAACTACGATATCTGAGGTTGGGCAATTGAGTTTGTGAACTTATCCTAGAAAAAGTGCTACATACCTCATTGCTGAATATCACTACTGTCACCTTTGAAGTACTTCCCTTGGGAAGCTATGCACCCATGCCAATGCCTAGTCCACCCTGCAAAGCAATTTTGGAACTCTCTTTCTGGAATGGCCATCAGAGCTGTCGTCATATTACCCTTGATGTCCTGAATGTCATCAAAATGTCTTCCTTTCAATATTTCCTTTATCTTCAGGTAAAGAAAGAAGTCATGGGGGGCCGGATCAGATGAGTAGGGAGGGTGTTTCAATACAGTTATTTGTTTACTGGCTAAAAACTCCCTCACAGGCAGTCCAATGTGAGCTGGTGCATTATCGTGATGCAAGAGCCATGAATTGTTGGCGAAAAGTTCAGGTCATCTAATTTTTTCACGCAGCCTTTTCAGCACTTCCAAATAGTAAACTTGGTTAATTGTTTGCCCAGCTGGTACAAATT